TTATATCTGGAATTGCATGTGTTTAAAGACATAGCAACTTCACAAGAAGCTGACGAATTTTAACGATAAACTTTTTTTCCCTTTTTCTGCAGAGCCCAGCTTGGGAAAGCTTACCAGACAGCTGGTGTTCTGTTTGAAGTGCTTTGTGCTGTTAATAAGACTGAAAAGGTCGACGAAGTTGCCCCTGAGGTTAGTTTTTTCCTTTCCTTTTATTTAATCCAATTATTTGAGCGCTTTTTATGGACTCTATGACGATTATGTTTACAGTGCTGGACGTGAATTGACTGTTTTTTACTATTTTACAGATCATGGCTGCAGCTAATGATGTCCAGGCGAAGAAGGAAATATATGCTCCCTACAATATTCTTCCCCTGGACTCTGCTGGGGCAAAACAGTCAATTATGCAGCTGGAAGAGGTGAGACATTTGCATCGTCTTCAGCATTGGTGTTTGCATGGTCCCTCTATCCCAAGTTATTTGTCATGTTAGCTCTTAAAATTTGTGACAACAATGTTGTTTTAGGAATTTAAAATTCAACTTCATACTTCCTCCCAAGTTTGGCCCTATTTACTCTTACCCAATTAACTGCATTGCTATGAGTGTGAGTAATCAAATAGCATGCTTATTGCTAGAAGTTACCTTTGTTCCACTAGTTATTTGGTTGTTATTGTGTACAAGTGTGGGTTGGGTAACTTCTCCCTTTGCGCTAGCTTTTGGGGATGAGTTCTACCAGGCCCATTAATCACTTATTAGTTGACTTAAATGTGTCATTTTATGATATTTCTTAATCTCTGTCATACTATCTAAAACATTGATTGATTTGCGATGGAGGGAATATACCTGTTCATTTTCAGTCATGTTACTATATACCGAAAAGATGCTAAGGTATTGCACTCTTCTAATGATGGTAGGTGAAAGCAGCCGTGACTGCTTTGCAAAACACCCGTAGCTTGACATGGCCGTCTTCATTCGAGCAACAAAGGCAGAAAGCTGGGGAGCTCGACCTCCTTGATTGGCTGAGAGCCATGTTTGGGTTTCAGGCACGTCTTGTGAATTGTTGAACCAAAGTTGATGTAGTCCTTTCATGCGTGTTCTTTTGTTTTTTTTTTTTTTTTTTTTTTCTTTTTTTTTTTTTCTCTTTTTAATCTAATTTAACTTGTTTGCTTTTGATACTGACAGAGGGACAATGTGAGGAACCAAAGGGAGCATTTGATACTGCTGCTCTCAAATATTCATATAAGGCTAATCCCTAAGCCTGAACCACAAAACATTGTATGTTCTTGTCTGATAATCCTCTGCATATGCAGGAGATGACCATACTTTGACATCGCTTCACAGCAACTTGTTTAGAGTACCTAACCTATGAATAATTTTCTGCAGCATTAGGTGCATCTAGAAATCATAGTTATACAGAATATGTGAGCTTGTCTTAATTAGCTTCGTGTAGCAAGTATGGTTGCAACCACACATTTAAGTTTCATATCAAATATAATGTTTTAATATGTGTGAGTCGTGTATACATATTGTGCACGAGATTATTTATTACTCCCTCCTATTTTTAATAAATGTCGTTTTGAGAAGTTGCACAATAATTAAGAATATTTTTTTTGTCAATAATATCATTAATGAGGATAGATATTGATGTTTTGAGAAAAGATGAAGAGCGAATATGAAAAGACGTAGTGTATTTATTAGTTAGATGAGGGTATAAGGGAAAAATATGTACAAAATAGCCAAAACGACATTTATTTAACAAATGATCAATTAAGCTAGGATGACAAATAATAAAAATAGGAGGGAGTATCAGGGAAAATAGTTCAAGACCTCTTATTTTTGCATAGCTTGATGATCGAGCCGTTGATGCACTCATGAATAAGCTATTCAAGAACTACAAGACATGGTGCAAATATTTGGGAAGAAAGCACAGCTTAAGGTGAAATGATATCTTGGGGTAAACTTCAAATATGTATAATTTAGTTTTCATGTGCAGGTAGGATTAACTCATGACTAATATTTCAATCTCACCAATCTTAGACTACCAAAAGGTCAGCCAGATGTGCAGCAGAGAAAGATACTTTATATGGGTCTATATCTTCTCATCTGGGGTGAGGCTGCTAATGTCCGGTTCATGCCCGAGTGTCTATGCTACATTTTCCACAATGTAAGTTGAAATTACTCTTCCTCAAAATAATTGGGATGATTCCAGCATTTTCTGCAGCATTAGGTGCATCTAGAAATCAATATAAGTTATGTTTGTAACATATCAATTAGTTACTGGGTGGCAATTGTGTATAAGTGTTTCTTGCCACCCTCTCCCTTTAAGTTAGCTTTTGGGGATGAGTTCTACCCAGGCCCATTTATCAAAGTGAAATTACAAGTAAATGTAGTAAAAGCAATTTTTTGATTGTACGAGTGCATGTTCAGATGGCATATGAGCTCCACGGACTCTTAGCTGGAAATGTGAGCATTGTCACGGGAGAGAACATCAAGCCTTCTTATGGTGGGGATGATGAAGCCTTCCTGCGGAAAGTCATTACACCCATTTATCAAGTGATTGAAAAGGTAAATTCTTGCGCACAGATTTTGCTCAGTCAGGACCAAGTATTTCTGCTGTTGAGATAACAAGATGGTCTTGCATGGCTGCCAGGAATCCAAGAAAGGTAAAAATGGGATAGCCCCTCACACAGCCTGGTGCAACTATGATGATTTAAACGAGTATTTCTGGTAAATATTCAAATTGATATGTAATGTTCGTTATAAAAATCAGCTTTATTCTTTATGTAATAATTGATTTTGGCAAAATAAATCTAGGTCAACTGATTGCTTCCATTTGGGTTGGCCGATGCGTGATGATGGTGAGTTTTTCAAATCAACTCGAACTGTTACACAGGTAATTGAGGTTGGCATTCTGGTGTTAAATATTTTGGGCATATCGAAGTTCCCTCTTTTAATTAGTGCGAGTATGATTACTGTTTCAGGGGAAAGGTGGTTCAAAAAAATCGGCTGGAAAGTTGGGGAAATCATTCTTTGCAGAAACTCGAACATTTTGGCACATTTTCCGGAGTTTCGATCGTCTGTGGACTTTTCTTATTCTTGCGCTACAGGTAGATATTTAAAACAGATGAAGAACAATTAATCGAGATACATTATGTGTGTGCCCTGAAACATTGGGATTGTTCTACTGCAGGTCATGATTATCATCGCATGGAGTAGAGTTTCTATATTTGATCTCTTCCAGAAGGACACTTTATACGACTTGTCTAGCATTTTTATCACGGCAGCCTTTCTTCGTCTTCTTCAGAGTATGTAATTCCAGTTTCTTTCAACCTTATCTCAGACATTTATTTGTTCACCCTAGTACATGCAGCTTGAGATTTCTTATAACCAAAACACTTATCTCTAACTTTTAAGACTGGGCTTTTTTCGCTTATTAAAATGCCATTTTGATATGCCAACAGGTATTTTGGACATCGTTCTGAACTTCCCGGGCTTCCTTAGGTGGAAATTCACTACTGTCCTAAGGAGTGTCCTCAAGATAATTGTCAGCCTAGCCTGGTCTATCATCCTTCCTATGTGTTATTTGGTCCAAATCAAGTCATCATCATTTTCCCAAATCAAAGATGTGCTCTCGTTCCTCGATAGACTTAAGGGTGTGCCAGCTTTCTACATTATGGCGGTGGCTATATACCTGCTACCGAATTTGTTGGCAGCTGTCTTATTTGTTTTCCCAATGCTGAGACGCTGGATTGAAAATTCAGACTGGCATATCATTAGGTTTCTTCTGTGGTGGTCACAGGTATAGCAGTGGCAGTCTTCTTCTTAAGTATTCTTAAATAGGCATTTACTAATAGCATCTGCAATGCTTTGGGTATAATTTAATTACGTGACATGTAAATAGACCTAAGTCTTAGATGACATAGACAAAAATATATAAAAGTAACAAAATTACCTCCAATGCAAAGAGACTAGGTCTCTACTTGGGTCTAAAATAGACTTAATTGTAGACAGGGTCTCTTTTTCTTGCTGCCACATGACCCAGTCCACTTGCACTTGCATTGGAGTAGATATTTTTCTACACTTGGTCTATTTCCTAAGTGGCCTGTATATTTTTTTGAATGAACCTAAAGCATTGTGGATGCTCTAACAGTCTTGTTCTTGGGTATTCTTAAAATAGCATTTACTCTTGGTTATGATTACACACCACTGATAGGTACTAAAATGAGTCTTTTTGTGAGACTATTCTACGATGTTCTCTTTCACCAAATAACTGGACTTTTAAGTCTGCATTTCAATTCTTACCAAAGTGCATTCCAGAGGAAAATAAGATTCTGTTAGGTCTTTATTTACCTACTTTTTAACATGCACAAGTATTTCGTCCAGGCAAGAACCCTTTATAATCCTTGCCATAATCTTTTTTCCCAAATAAATTATCTGGGGGAGAATTAACTTCAGGTCCTCCAATATGTTTCATCACCATATGTTGACATCCACTATTTTCTAGGAAAGAATCAAGTTCCATATATCACATGCACCGACATACATGCATGCATTACGCTGTAATAATCAACACTACTCTCATATGAGTATCTTTTTTATTCTCGAGTAATATATATAACTGGGTTCTAAAACTCTGCAGCCCAGAATCTATGTGGGAAGGGGAATGCATGAAAGCCAATTTTCACTTATCAAGTATGTTAACTAAAGTTCTTTATCCTTGAAAATGTTTCATTACTCATGGGACACAGACTTGAATTTTTATGTTGTAACTGATCGCAGATATACATTATTTTGGGTGCTGCTTCTGTGCTCGAAATTTGCATTCAGTTATTTTATGATGGTAGTTTCAAACTCTTAAATTCAGAGAATTTAGTTCTTTGACAATAGCCTTGTCTTTATTCCAATTCCTTTGTGTAGATAAAACCTCTGGTCCAGCCCACTCACGACATCATGAACATTCACCATGTTGATTATGCTTGGCACGAATTCTTCCCTAATGGTACCCACTTAATTCATTTTAATTTCTTTCTTTCCAAGAATCACCTTCTCCCGCTCTGTACATATGGCAAATATCGTATACCTCTTGCAGCTAGACACAACTATGGAGCTGTTGTTGCATTGTGGGCACCAGTTATTATGGTGAGCCTTTTTTTTATTAAATTTCCTTTTTATTCTAATATTCCTCAACCTGCAAACTTTATATTTTGACTATTCTGTTGCAGGTTTACTTCTTGGACCTTCAGATTTGGTATTCTATAATCTCCACCTTGTATGGAGGTTTTATTGGTGCCTATGATCGTCTTGGCGAGGTAGTGACCAATAAAGCATTTATTTGTGGCTTTTAAGTTAATTCGATCTCGCATTAGTTTATCGCGTTTAACATCATCTGTCACTTGACATATGATTTTCTGGCTACTGTTTTTGTTATATCATAACATATATATCGTTAACTATTACAGGATATCTGGTATTTCTATTAGAAAGCTCTATGAAAGTTTTGCATCACTGAATTGTTAGATCATTCTCTTTGTTCACTTTTAGCTAGTTGATCACATCACGCGTCTTTTTTTCAGATTCGAACTCTTGGAATGCTAAGGTCTCGCTTCCAGTCATTACCTGCTGCATTCAACACCTGCTTGGTACCTTCTGATAAATCTAGAAAAAAAGGGTTTTTCCATTCAAAAAGCAATAAGGTTCTCATCTCCCTCTCCCTCTCCCTCTCCCTCTCCCTCTCCCTCTCTCTCTCTCTCTCTCTCTCTCTCTCTATATATATATATATATATATATATATATATATATATATATGTTTTATGTGCTTTTCATGTTCTCAAGTTATGACCACTGTCATCCCATATCTGAACTTCACATTTATTGAGCCATCTGCAGGCCAACGCAAGTAGGAGAAGTGAGGCTGCTAAGTTTGCACAGTTGTGGAACGACGTAATTACCAGTTTCCGAGAAGAGGATTTAATAAGTGACAGGAAAAGCCCCATATCCTAATTTTCTAATCCTGCACTATCCTATCTTTGAGATCCACTCATTTAAGATATACTAGAGACTGTAACTAAATATTTTGTTATTTACCTCAGGGAGATGGATCTGCTTCTTGTCCCTTACTCGTGCGATCCTAGCCTAAAAATAATCCAATGGCCCCCTTTTCTGCTTGCTAACAAGGTGATCTACAGTTTCTCAACATCTATTTGTAGTCCTGACCTCGCCAGTTCATTCTTTTTCTCTTTGTGACCCTCTGCCCAGATTCCGATAGCGTTGGATATGGCTGTTCAATTTCGGTCCAAGGATGCTGACCTCTGGAAACGAATATGTGCTGATGAGTATATGAAGTGTGTTGTAACAGAATGCTATGAGTCATTTAAACATGTTTTGAATGCCTTGATAATCCGCGAGGCTGAGAAACGGTAATCTTTTATTTACAGTATGGGATAACTTCATCACTTACAGTACTATGAATTATATATTTAATTTGCTAATGCTAGAGGATGATAAAATATGTTCCTGTGTGCATGTTGTGCTTCTGCCCTCCACTACATGAACATTTCTGAATAGTTAAACAGTTACATTATTTGTTATATTTACGTAGTTTATTTATTACTTTATTGAGTCACTTCTCTCGATACTTCCGCTGCATGGCGATTGACATTTTATCTACCATTCATGTAGTAGGATTCTCTTAGTAAATTATTATGCCTGACATTTTCATGGTCTTCACTTCATCACCAACTTCTTATTTGGTTCCGGAAAATATGTATTTAATTATAAAGGTACTGAAAAGTAACATTTGATCGTGTATCATATAGTAGAAAACTTCTGTTTCTCACTAATTTTAGTGGAGTCTTGTAGGAAGCCGAAGTCTATAGAATTTTATCTTTTGGCTTCAGTCCTAACGTCTGCATTCCTGGAACAGGGTCATCGGAACCATCATTAAGGAAATAGAAAGTAACATGTCAAAGGGCACACTCCTTGCAAATTTCAGAATGAAGCACTTACCTGATCTTTTCAAGAAATTTGTAGAGCTTGTGGAGATATTGGTGAAGTCATTTGTCACTGTCATAGCTTTTACTTTCATGTTACATTTCTAAGTAAAACCGAGCCTTTTTTTTTTTTTTTAANTTTTTTTTTTTTTTTACTTGCAGAAAGATGGTGATCCATCTAAGAAAGATAGGGTTGTTTTGCTGATGCAAGATATGTTAGAAGTCGTTACCCGTGACATGATGGTGAATGAGATTCGGTAAGTAGTAGATGGTGCAGCCTTTGTAATACATGTAGTTTTTTGCAGACTACTCTTCTCTGATTAAGTTCCGTGAATTTTGTTCCTTTAATGAAACAGTGAACTTGCTGAGCTTGGTCAAGGTAGTAAGGATTGTGGAAATCAACTTTTTGCTAGTATTAGCTTCCCTCCCCCAAATACAGCCCAATGGGAAGAGCAGGTATGTGAAAATATGCTTGCACTTAATATTCTTAAAACATAAAAAACTTGAAACAAAATTGAAGCATTTTATGTGCTTGTCACACAGATACGACGCCTCTATCTACTTCTTACTGTTAAAGAATCCGCAATCGATGTCCCAACGAACCTTGAAGCACGTAGGAGGATAGCATTCTTCTCCAATTCACTCTTCATGGATATGCCACGTGCACCTCGAGTTCGCAAAATGCTATCATTCAGGTGGAACATATTGTATTTCTCATATATGCTATTCATATTTTCTATCTTGTTCCTCATCCCACGAGTTTTTTGCATAATCTCCTTGAACTCCATCAGAACTTTTTGAAAAAATAGTTAGCTTATTTCATAAACAGTAGAATAAGGCTTAGCCAGCTTGGTGAAAAAGATTGATATATAGTTTAGCTTACTTTGACGTTGTATATTCTGAAAATATTTCCTTCTTTACAAGAAAAAAATTATTCAGTTTGTGACCATATCGATTCGCATTTGTAGTGTAATGACCCCATACTACAGCGAGGAGACTGTCTACTCCAAAAGTGACCTAGAAATGGAGAATGAAGATGGTGTGTCTATCTTATATTACCTTCAAAAGATATTCCCAGGTTTGCTTCACTTGTCCAGTCCAAAATGCAGTCTCAGTAACATTCTTTTATTTCATGGTATTACAACTGTTTTTAATCTACTGATATTCATATAACTTCTTCCTTCAGACGAGTGGAACAACTTCATGGAGCGCCTGAACTGCAAAGAATCTGAAATTTGGGAAAATGAAGAGAATATACTGCAACTACGCCATTGGGCATCCTTGAGAGGGCAGACCCTTTGCAGAACAGGTTAGTTGAGTTCTTGCAACTTTTTTAGGCTTTCTGTTTGTGATCTCTCGATAGTATCTAGATTATCTGACTATCATCGCCCATGCATTGTAGTCAGAGGCATGATGTATTACCGAAGGGCTTTGAAGCTTCAGGCTTTTCTTGACATGGCAACTGAAGATGGTAAGAGAAAAAAAGTTCACAATTTACAAAAGGAGCATGCTTAAAATTTTAATCCTCAAAAAGCTTCTTAATTTATTTCACATAAAAAGATATCTATATGCTACATCTTTCAGTCAAAAAACTTCAACAATTCAAAAGTGAAAAAATCGATTCTGTTTTTCTTTTCCCCCTTTTTTTTTTTTGATCTTTTCCTGTCTGACCTCTTAAAATGTGAACAATGAAATTCACTTGACTGAACTTGGTGTTAACATAAGAAACTGTTTAAGCTGTTTCAAAAGGAACTCAGGTTTTGCTTCTGACAGCTTTTGTCTAAATTGGACAGAGATACTTGAAGGCTACAAAACTATTACAGAACCATCAGCAGAAGATAAGAAGAGTCAGAGATCCATGTATACTCAATTAGAGGCTGTGGCTGACATGAAATTCACATATGTCGCCACCTGTCAAAACTATGGGAACCAGAAACGAAGTGGAGATCGTCGTGCAACAGACATTTTAAATCTGATGGTTAAGTAAGTCGCACAACTTTGTCATTGTGAAAAGTTCTACATCATTTTTAAATTCTTCGGAAAATGTGATACCCATTTGTTTTTATCCAGTAATCCATCTCTCCGAGTGGCGTATATAGATGAAGTCGAGGAAAGGGAAGGTGGGAAAAATCAGAAGGTCTATTACTCTGTATTGGTAAAAGCTGTTGATAATCTTGATCAGGTACCATTAATTTTCAAATTTTGAGCAAGATAAACAAGTACTTCGTTTTCAACCCAGGCTTGCTTAAATTCCCACTCTTATGTAGGAAATCTACCGAATAAAGCTGCCTGGGTCAGCAAAGATAGGTGAAGGGAAGCCGGAAAACCAAAACCACGCTATTATCTTCACACGTGGGGAAGCTCTTCAGACCATAGACATGAACCAGGTAATTTAAAGAACTTTGCAGTCATTAAGTTGATGAAGCTTTTGGTTAGAGCAAATATGAGTATGTAACATAAATCTTTTCTTCCTAGGACAACTATTTGGAGGAAGCTTTTAAGATGCGCAACCTACTTGAGGAATTTAATGAAGATCATGGGGTGCGTCCACCTACGATCCTGGGTGTTCGCGAGAATATTTTCACTGGAAGGTTGGATTTAGGTTTATCTTTGAACAAGTTCGATTAATGTTCATTGTTTAGCTCTCCCTGATTTTTACATTGCCAACTGCAGCGTGTCATCGTTGGCTTGGTTTATGTCAAATCAAGAAACAAGCTTTGTTACCATTGGCCAGAGAGTTCTTGCAAGGCCTCTGAAGTACGTTTATTCCGTTTTACATGCATCACCAAATATTAAATTATCTCTTGGTTTGTATTCAGCAGATAGGTGAAGAACCAATATATATTGTTTATCTTCAACTCAGGGTATAGCCACACAAGCAGTCATTCGTATGTGGAAGATGTAAATTGCCATGATTAATAATACTGAAAATAGTGGAATTAAATATTGTAAAACTTATTTTTCATTTAAACAATATATAGAGGTGAAGGCTCCAGTGTCTTTCCAACTAAAATCAACATGTTTATCACTTGGAGAAATCATAGCCCCTTTACACTTCATAAATTTCTTTTACATTGCTTGCAACTGTTGTTAATTAATGTTAGATGTTAAATATGGGTCACTTATCATAGCTTTCACATGATCCCCTCTTTTTCTACTTCCTAATCGTACAGGGTGAGATTCCACTATGGACATCCGGATGTTTTTGACAGAATCTTCCATATGACACGTGGAGGCATCAGCAAAGCTTCACGGGGAATCAATCTTAGTGAGGATATTTTCGCTGGTGAGATCTTAACCTTATTTAACCAGCGGAATTTTTTACAGTATGAGTCAGTTTGTAATTTTGACTTTACCATCTGAAGGTTTTAATACAACACTAAGACGTGGAAATGTTACTCACCATGAATATATTCAAGTTGGGAAGGGACGAGATGTGGGTCTCAACCAGATCTCACTTTTCGAGGCCAAAGTTGCATGTGGTAATGGAGAACAGACACTCAGTCGTGATATCTACAGATTGGGACACCGTTTTGACTTCTTCCGCATGCTGTCATGTTACTACACAACCATAGGGTTCTACATCAGCTCAATGGTAATGTGTTTCACTTGTAATCAGAATCATTAGACCATAAAATAGAGCTGCTCGATCTTTCCAAAATACAAACTATGGCATACATTAACGACTTTAAATTCTTTAAGAAAAAGGTTACTGAATCTTCAAACATGAAATATGTTTTATCTCACTTCTAGAAATTCATATAGTGAATTATTTTTCTTATTTGTATTGTTGGTAGTTTTGGGTAGGCAGACTGGATTTAAAACAGCATATTTATTAACATCTATTGGACGGAATTTTCCTATTTTTCAACGAAAAAATATTCCTGATCGGAACTCATCTAAACTTAATTCTTTAATCGTTTTAGCTCTCAGGCGCAAACTATCCGCTAAATTACACTGTAAATGTTTCACTTGCAAGTATATTCTTCTCGTCAAGTTATTGAAATTCCCAGACATCATGCATTGCTATGAAAGAGGAATAACTATATCAGAGTTCGGACATATGGATTGCCTGACCCTAAACTACTATTTGAGTGTAACCAGCTAGTTGTTTAAGCAAGGCAAAATTGCATATTAATACACCACTTTTCATGTTTTTGCAATTTAATCACCACCTTTGAAATTTTGCAAATTATACACTATCTTTACCATTTTTGCAAATCGATACATGAATGACGGTTCCGTGAACAGAATCTGACATGGCATTGACGTGGCTTAACGCCATGTCAGATTTTCGTTACATTTTTGTTAAACGGAAACGTCATTCATGTATCGATTCGCAAAAGTGGTAAAGGTGGTGTTTTAATTTGCAAAAATGTGATGATTAAATTGCAAAAAACACGAAAGGTGGTGTATCAATATGCAATTTTGCCTTCAAGCAATATGCAGTTAGATAAGCTCAGAACTAATCCACGAACCATGCAGTTGGTGGTCCTCACAGTATATGCCTACCTTTACGGCAAGCTCTACCTCATCTTGAGCGGGCTCGAGAAGACCATTGTCCGGTTCGCGAGGTCCAAGGGAGATGATGCCCTAAATGTAGTCATGGCCTCTCAATCGATAGTCCAGCTCGGCTTCCTCATGGCCCTCCCCATGGTCATGGAGATCGGCCTCGAGCGAGGCTTTCGCACAGCCGCCGGTGACATCATCATCATGCAGCTCCAGCTGGCATCTGTCTTCTTCACCTTCTCCCTCGGAACCAAGCTCCACTACTTCGGCCGCACCATACTCCATGGTGGGGCCAAGTACCGGGCCACGGGCCGCGGCTTTGTTGTCAGGCATGAAAAGTTTGCCGAGAACTACAGGATGTACTCGAGGAGCCACTTCACCAAGGCGCTTGAGCTCATGGTCTTGCTCGTGGTCTACCAGGCGTACGGGTCCGCGGCAGAAGGCAGGGCTTATTTGTTTGTGACGTTTTCGATGTGGTTCCTTGTGGTCTCGTGGCTGTTTGCACCCTTTTTGTTTAACCCGTCAGGGTTCGAGTGGCAGAAGATAGTAGACGACTTTGATGACTGGGCCAAGTGGATGAACAGTAAAGGGGGGATTGGTGTGCCGGCTACCAAGAGCTGGGAGTCGTGGTGGGCGGAGGAGCAGGAGCATCTTCAGTACACAGGATTTGTTGGAAGGTTCTGGGAGATTCTACTCTCTCTTAGGTTCTTTGTGTACCAGTATGGGATCGTTTATCAGCTGCATGCTGCCCAGAATGACAAAAGCATTGTGGTGAGTGTCGCTTTGCATGTATTTATTGATGTTTGCCTTCAATTCTTGTTTATTAAGGATTCTGGACTTATAAGGAGGGTAATCACCCTAAGGTGAAGACTAATCACAAAGTGGCTGTTATTTTACAAAATTGCAAATGCCATCTTTTACATGTAGCGCCCTCGTGAGGGGGCGTACTTTATTGTCTAAATACACATGTTAAGGGTGTTTTTATATATCTTTTTTTCTCCTATTATAACGAATATAAGGTGTAATGATTGGTTTTTCCATGATTACAGGTATATGGTTTGTCTTGGCTGGTCATTGTTGCTATGGTAATCATTTTGAAGGTAAGTGTCAAAATCTCTCTGTGAACGTAAAAGTGACCTCCTGTTGCACGTTTGTGGCGTCGAACCTTACTTTGGACTGAAAACAAAATTGAAAACTCTGATTCGTAGGTTGTGTCCATGGGAAGGCAGAAGTTCAGTGCTGATTTCCAGTTGCTTTTTAGGCTTCTGAAGCTATTCCTTTTCATCGCCTTTATTGTCGTACTATTCGTCTCCATAAAATTCCTCGAGCTCACTGCAGGCGACATTTTCGCCTGCTTATTAGGCTTCTTGCCAACTGGATGGGCTCTTCTGCAGGTATACACTTCATTCTCTCTAATTTAGTCGTCCAAATGAACCTGCATATACTATAAGAGTGTGCAAACTCCAAAATAAGATAATAATCATAGAAGTGGTATTATTATTATTTGGAAAATTTGCCCCTAATATCACGATCTTTATCGAAGATGCAATTTAATCATGACCTTTTCACTTTTGCAAATTATATCACAATCCTTAGTTTGTTGCAAAAAATCATAGAAAAGCTGATGTGGTCGAACAACAAATTAAAGATTGTGATATAGTTTGTACGGGATATGCAAATCGGTGCACCAATTTGCAACAAACTGAAGATTGTGATATCATTTGCAAAACTGAAAGAGTCGTGATTAAATTAAAATTTCGAAAAAGGTCATGATATTAAGGGCAATTTTGCCTTATTATTATTAGTTAAAACTCATGCTCTGTGGCATTGTTGTCCAATGCAGATAGCACAAGCTTGCAGGCCTATAGTGAAGGGCCTGGGAGCATGGGGATCTGTGAAAGCACTGGCAAGAGGTTATGAGTACTTAATGGGTTTGACCATATTTGCTCCAGTTGCAATTTTGGCCTGGTTCCCGTTTGTGTCCGAGTTCCAGACAAGGCTGCTTTTCAACCAGGCTTTCAGCAGAGGTTTGCAGATTCAACGTATTCTGGCCGGTGGAAAGAAAAACAAGTGAGCTTGTCACAGATATCGTCTGGTAGACATTATATCAAACGGCAAAAGCAATATTTAGTGCAGCATCCATTTTTTTGGTTTATGAAAATGTGGCCTGGCACAGCCTCTGTAGACTGTAGGTTGCGTGCATGATGGTTCACTGTATTGGAAAATGTCGTGGGTTGTGATGTTGATCGGAATAAAAATTGTTACCTTAAAATTTATTGTATTCAAGTTATTATTATTATTATTACCGACTAAGTTGTTGGTGTTGTATGCTGCAATCTCAGTTTCAGGTCAAACTAGTGTGTAGATCGTAGGATATACAGATTAATTGTTAGTGCGATAAGAACAATATCAAATAATAATTTTAAATTAAAATTGTGGATAAACAGTATTAAATAATAATTTTAAATTAAAAATGTGGGGTAAACATATGGCTGAGCAACGGTGCAGTTCGGTGAAAAAATTGAACCGCGCAAAAACTAAAAAGCCAGAAAAGAGAATTTGTTCATTGAACGGCACCGCAAGAGAAGAAAAAACCAAATCGAACCAAACCGAATTGGGTTTGGTTCGATTTCGTTTTTTTAGTTAGTCGCAATTAAAAAAAGTTAAACACAAATCATGTTACAAGGCCTTAATTTTGTCAAAATTAGAATAGTTTAATTGTAAATTGCGATGTTCTTAACTGTTTTTATTTTCAAACAACAAGAGTGGTGTGTTGTTTATTTGTTATACCTATAGTACAAATATAAAGAGAATTTTTTAGCCATTCGGTGCGGTTCGGTTAAAATCGAACCGCACCGATTTTTTTGTGGTTTTTCAAAATCCAAACTGCACTGCAAATCGAACACTGTAGAAATTGAACCGAACCGAACCGCACCGAATATATCAGTTCGGCTCGGTTTTTCAGTTTCGACTCAGTTTTCCTCACCCCTAGGTAAACATTTGATATAATTTACACGTAAACAATGTAAAAATTATATTATATGAAAGAACATAAAACATGTATGTTTAAAATATTATAAATGCCTAAAATATTATGTAACGTAAAAGTATCTAAAATATTCTATATTATATTTGAAAATGTGAAGTCACCTAATTTTTTTAACAAAAACATGTCTAAATATGCTTAAGTTTAACATTAAATATAGATATAGCTCCTTAAAATTTGTCCAAAGAACATGTTTAAAAGTATTTTACAGCCTAATACATTAGTACTTAGACATTAGAATTTTATAAGATAACATTTATACAGTAGATATGACATAAATTAAAATTTTGCAATTTGAGTACAAAAGAATTCAAAATTTAGTTTTTTAATAATTTCTTTTGATAGTTTATTAATTTTTAAAAAATCAATATTTTTAATTTTTAAACATATTAACATTTTCTTTGATAGTTTATTAATTTTTTAAAATATCAATATTTTTAATTTCAAAAATTATAGTTATAATATTATTATTACCAATATTAACTATCATATAACTCATTAACATTATCTATATATTACTAATATCCATATTACTAAAAAATATGAAGTTTATAAATAACTTATGGAAAATCATAATAACATTATTATCCTCTTCAGTATCCTTTTAAAACACCGCAAGTTTGGTTAAGATTAATAAAAATGATATTTTTCATGCGACGAATTTTTTATGCTCGTCGGATAACATCATTGATTGTCACAGATCAAAATTTTAATTAGCATTTGACGAAATCGGAAACTACAAATTAAGAAAATATATGTGTTGTTATTTTGTAACAAATGTTTAACAATGCACGCCTAGATTTATGCATACGATAGTTTAACATAATGCTCATCTATCTATATATAATAAAAATTACTATTTATCAAAAATAGTAGCAAAATAATAGGTCAAAATTTAATGCAGCCTATAAATAGTAAGTTTTATTATTTTTCTTATTTTTTTTCTTTAAAAATCATATATCATTAAATGTTACCTTAAATTTTGGGCTTTAGTTCATGTCATTATTTAAAAAACCAGGCTAAGATTTATTAAGTGTGTATGTTTTTATTTTTATTTTTTTTATAGAAACAATGAGCAACATTAAAATCTCGGTCTCTATATTTATAAAATCTCAATTCAAAATATAACAAAAATTTTAGAATCTCAGTCTTTATTTTTGTGCCTTTAAAAAATATTGAACACTAAAAAATATTCTTTAAATTGCATAATCAATCAGTTAATTCTATTTTTTAAAAATTACTATGTTTATTTTTTACTAATATGCATAAAGTATAAATAATTAATTCATCTTTAGATATATAATTTATAATCTTAATATACTATCATTTGGTGTAGACATTTATTATATGAATCATAAAATATTTTTATTTCATAAAATCAAATATATTTAAAGAAAATAAGAAAATTTATTCGGATCAATCGAGTGATTGAATTAGGATACTGCCCAGGTTGATTGTATTACTTTTAGGTGATATTTAAAATAGTCAAAAAATTTGACACAACGTGGTTGGTCCCAAGTGACTAAGTTATGTATCAGTTCGACCACACCAAATCGATTATTGAACCTAAATATAAATTTTATATTGAAAATATTTTATTACGTGAATGTGAAGTCAAACTTCAAATAATCGACTGGTGTTGACGGATTCGAGAGCAAATATTTTATTAAAACGAACTAGACTGGTTATAAACCAGTGCTTGATCCATCCGGCCGGACTGTGTCCAACCCGGTATTCAAAAACAATGAATAAATCATGATTAATGTTATATATTTATTTAATTTATAATACAATCATAATATTGTTTTTCCGTGCATCGCACAGGCCACGCACTAATATTTATGCATATGATTTATAAATAACATAATGCAACGAGATTAATGCATGCATTGTTAAAAATCTTTTGGCATTTTTTTTTTTTTTTTTGNNTAAATTATTCTCTTATATATATATAGAGAGAGAGTTAGGATCATATGAGAATGATAGATAGTGAAAGAAATAAGAATGATCCTGGATCGTAGGATCAATCAAAACAATGGTCATGATCAAGTCAAAACTTAATAAGTCACAGTCAAACATGGATGACATTATAGTAAATAATTGTACACAAGATGGTCAATTATAAAAATTAACCACTAAGTGAGGGTAAACAAGACATTATGCACTATAAGTGGACCCCATCACTAACACCACTAACCTACCCCTCTCTCTCCCCCATAAACACACACTACACACACTTACACACACAAATCACCATCGCGACACACACACACATCAAACACACACAAACACATACAATCTGAATGGAGCCGCCGCCGAACGTCAACTGCGCCGCCACCGCAAGAATAGCCGGCCACGTCGCCGCCAACACCATCAACTGCCGTCAATGTGGAGAGCTATCAGATTCCAGCACGGCAAGTGGCATGTGTGGTCGACCTCGCCGGCGACTGTGTTGTCGTCTTCGCCCAATACCGTCTATCGCTGCCTGTCGCCATTCCGCCACCGCGTCGTCGCCGTCATATCTATCTTCCCGATCGTCGACCTCGATGCTAATATCCGACAGCGAGAAGGTCGCCACCTCTGGCGACACCAACCGGCGAACATTCAGCCCGGTTTATCACTGCTCCCGGAGTCGTGTCGCCACCACCATCCTTCTCGTACCCTGCACGAAGGCATGGCCGACTCTAGGGGAAAGGCACCATAGGCCCATGCCTAGGGCCTCCAATTTTTAGGGGCCTCAATTTTTTTTTTAAATGTTTTATATATATGTGTGTTTGGTTTTGTCTATTTACACAAATAAAGGGGCTAATGGCTAAATATGAACTTGACCCATTACACACATCAAGAGGCTAATTAATGAAAGAGCCAATAGCAAAATATATACTTTGTGTAAGAATTTGAGGCCCTAAATATTTTATTTGTTTTCTTATTATGGTCAGAACAAGTTGTGTGAGAATATAAATATTCTTTGTTGTAATATGATTTTTATTTTCTCATCCTTGTTTTGTTCGTGACTGCTTGAATGCAATTTATAACTTATTAAAGGTAATTTTTCCAAAGTCTAGAAAAACAAGAAAAATCGTTTTTTTTTTTTCAATTATTTAGTTATTTAATAATCTTGTTTAATTAGATTTTTTTCTTGTATGATTCTATCTACAAATAGCCCTACCACACAAGTTCAAATCGGAAAATTCGAAAATGTAAAATCTGCCTGGGGCCTCCAAATTTCTGGAGACGGCTCTGCACGAAGGCGGTGAAGCTATGTGAGGATAAAATGGCCGATTTTTCCCTTTTTTTTTTCTTTTTTTTCCTTTTTTGCGCAGATGAAGTCGTCGGCGGGCTGCGACAGCGTGGCGATGAAGACGGCGGCGGGTGACCATATCGACGGCGACTGGAACAACGGAAGGTGAGCTACCTCGGAGGTGACGTGGCTAACCTGCAGAAATTGTGTTTGGCAGTTTGTGGGGTTTTTATTTGGAAATTTGATATGTTGTAAGGGCTAAATTGCAATTTCTTTAAGTTTCTTTTATTTCAGGTTAACATTTGAGGCAAATATGTAATATAATGAAAGTCTAATTAATTCACAATAAAGTTACATCAATTGCACATTTTTATGTGAGAACATACAAATTAA